TTTGAGCCCGATTCGGCCCCAACGAGATCTGACATCGTCAGGTTATTTCTGGTTTCCCAAAGCTCCTTTCAGTCATCATCCTGCACATTTACCATGTTGTGGGCTTGTGAAGTCTGATAGCAGATTCACAAGGAACATAGGCTCGCCCTAATATTGATTCGGGAGTTCTGACAGCAAAAGCCCAACTTCCCTAAGTCCGACACTTCTGAGATGTTGGTGGAACAAAAAAGGGACCTTGCGCTGGGAACCGCCGCCCAGTAATACTAGAGTCACTGAAGAAGGCAACATCGACAGCGTAATGGCGACGCGTTCAATTTGAAAGTAAAGCAAGACAAAGTCTGCTTTTTCCTGAGGTCGTTCGACCCCACCTTGCGGAGAATATTCATAAAAAATTGGAGACTCTCGGGCTAGCGTTCTTCCAACTCCGCCGTGTAGCCCTATCCTCGTGCTACCAAAGGAAAACCTCGTCGAAAGTCCAGAGTTACAGCACTCTAGCGCCAACCTTCATGAAGAAATTTTGCGCTTCATAAGTGACATGACCTCAAACACGACTACCAGTCTTTCTTTATCTCATCAAGAACTCGTGAAATTCCGCAGATAAGACAGCCACGAGATCCCCATGTATGGGCAGCATTTTGAAGATGAGAAAGATGTGTGTTTAGGTGAACAAGCACCTTGAAGAAGAGAAATATTGAATTAATAAGTGCCCAAAGTGAGTCAATGAAACTACAAATAAGTTGGTTCGCAGTTTGTCCAATAATGCGGGATAAGCAGAAAGGTCACCGACTGCTACGAGCGCAAGCTCGAAATTGCTTATTGGACTTACTCGCACATTGCGTGCAGGTATTCATTCACCTGTATACTGCACAACCAACTTGCTCAAGTGGAACTATTGTAGATAGAATGAGCAATTCTGCGACCATCTTGATCACTAGACATCTTTCCTACCGAGTGCCGTTTATTTGGAAACTTAAAGGCCCCGGTATGAAGTGTCCGCACTTGCAGAGAGCGTCCTACGCCCCTCCCACAAAATGCACGATTAAGGCACTAAGGCAATCATCCACCCCTATTGCAACGTTCCCCACCCACCGCGATTGATGTGGAGATCGGCGCGCTCTCTATGGAATGCGTGTTCGCTCGCGTTTTCTATTTTCTCTCATAGCTTTGTCTCGCCTGGCTTCGCTTGAAAACCCTTCCCACTTCAACTCATTCCGCAACTCATCCATCACTATGATGCGCTCCTGAACACCAGGTCTTTTACGGGGCCCGCTTTCGAACAGCTTCCGTCAAGAGAAATTATCCGAGTGGGTCAATGGTACCTTATATTAGGTTTGCAAGATTGAAATGTCGCTTCTGTTTGTGCATTTGTTTCTTAGCTTAACACAATCTCTTAGGATGGGAGCAGGGTGAATAACGGTCGAGGAAATCCTCGACAGGGGGTCGTATTTGCTCCGATGAGAGTTGGGAGGGGGTCGTAATCAAAAGGTTCATCAACGGACACAACGGTGCTGCTGCCACTTATTTGCTGTCATCATTATTTCACAAGTGTTGTAGTTAGCCTAATGCAAATAATATCTTACACTGTCTGGAATTAAAATTCAAATGGAAAGTGGTTGTTGGTTTGGTTCGTAGTGATCAGTGTGGCATAGGAAGGCAACGCGTCCTGCAAAAGAATCGTAGGGAAAGGGCAGCGAGTATCTACTCTAGAATGATGTACATGCTTCGAGAACTTAGTGGAGGAACAGCATCTTGGTAGAAAGTTCAAAACAGGCAGATTCGCAGCCTTCTTGGCATCATCAGATCCTGCAACCGCAAGCGTGTCATTCATCAGAACGGGTTGGAAAGGAAGCGATTTGAATAAAGGAATGATCAGACATCACTATGACCACAAGAGTTATCCTAATTAGTTAATACTGGAAATATCTTTTGGTGTGCTTAAGCAAGTCGTCACTAGGACAAAACACCTTCCCAATGACTCCGAGTGGGGTCACTGCATGGCGCATACAAGAACGGAATGGATCCGTAAGTATTTTGAAGGTGTTCAAAGAAGTTCCCCTACTACGGCGAGGGAGTAATAGAGTTTTCGAGTGGCTTCGAAAATTTCCTTGACATTTCCTCGACGCAGATTTCTCGCGAACTAGAAAGCGTTCGAAACAACTGGAGCACCTGTCAGAAAGCGTAAATCTTCTACTTTACAACGCTTTCCTCGATTTTCAAAGCATTGCCAATGAAGACAGCTACTGTCTTCCAAAGAGTGGGAACTCGCATGTAAATTTCAATTTCCTCGACAATTTCTCGACGTCTCCCACTCTCGAGAATAGGCGTGCTTAGAAAAACGCTCAGCACAATTTAGAAACTAGAAGTCTTGTGCATTCAAAAGCTGCCTTCACTTTCTGAAATGGTTATCAATGAAGAAAGTTATAGTCCTTTGAATAGGGGGTACATTTGACGATTTTTCCAACTAGCGCGCTCTAGGCACAGCGCGCGACGCGATCGCGGGTAGTTAGCGCCGCTATACTGGAGCGCGAGACTGTTCAACTGTGTAGGGGCAGTACCTCCTTCAATGTTCTACTTTCCGGCCAATGTGGCAAAGGTTAAATGTCTTTAAAGGAAAGAAGGAGAACCTAATCTGAGCAGAATTGAATCTAGCATTTGGATCAAGCCGCATTTGCGTGGCAGTGGCGCTGCGTCCCTCTCGCACATCTGAAACTAGCATTTTTTGATATGAAACCGGATGTGCAGAGGACAAAAAGGGGTCGTATCAAGTCCATGTTTCGGAGGGAGTCGTAAAGAGGCGGTTATTTCCTCGACACGATTTTCACCCTGGATGGGAGACCACTTATTCGAGAGAGCGATTCAGCGCGCATATTGCGAAATCTTAGGCGCCACTGAGCGGATGCTCTTTGAGCCAAAAGTTTTGCTCGAAGATGACTGATCAGAAATCATCGTCTGAGCGTATATATTCAAGCAACGAAAAACGGCCAACGAATCCCACTCATTGTGTGCAAAACATTGAGCAGTAACACTTAGTCTCTGATGCACTTTCAGCTATGGTTTCAGCTCTTCCAAGACTGAGGTAAAGGACCTGAGGACGAAGATCGTGGATTTTGACCTCTAGCTCTAGATGACGGAGAAATAAAAAGCCAACGAATTGAGTCCTCGACAAACCGCACAAAACTTGCATGGAGATTCAGTTGTGTCAACAGAAAAATTTAAAAGTTCCTACGTGCGACTGTTAAGGCCTTTCAGGATAGAAAATGGGTTCGGCCTATTCTGAGCGACGCGAGCAAGCAGTACTGGTTGCCAATACTGGAACTTCGCTCCATAACTTCAAGAGGAAAAGGTTTCATGTTGACCGCATTTTACAAAGAGATGTTTCCCAATAACAACGCGAGAAGATGACCGTGGTTGGCGGCTGATGGGCAGCTGAGGGCCTCTCTGAAACCGGACATCCACTGAGAAAAAGTCGTGCTACGGTGTGGTGGAACAGTATAAGACTGGCCTACTATGGAGAGCTGATTGTGGGTCAGACAGTTACAGCTGAAGCCTGCGCACAACAGCCCGCCCGCGTGGACCGAGCTCTGCGTCGTCAAGGGGTGAATTCGGCCAATGTAAAACTATTGCACCATAACGGAAGACCACATGTCGTGAAAATCACGCAACAAGAAATCGAGGAGTTGGGCTGGGACGCTCTACCTCCAGCGCCATATGGCCTAGGTCTGGCGCCATCACTGACCCAGGTCAGTGCAACTAAGAAAGAAAAAACCTTTATAAACGAAATAATTAAAATGGTTCGTTTCGCTCCTTCCTCAGACGAACCTTATTATTTCGTCAATCCCCGGAACTCATTCCTTCAACACTCCTTAGCAGGAAGCCAATCCGATAACCTCGACGACGTCAAAATTTGAGTGCCCAACTTCTTCGAGTCGAACCAGAAAGAGTTCTACGCGGCATGCTTTGCGTAACGAAAGGTGATGAGCCTGTGACACAGGTGAAGGAGATGGTTCAGGTTGATGTGCTTCATTATTGTTTTTATAATGAAAATAATTGATGATCGAAAACGACATTTCAATCTGGCCAACTTGATAAATAAACGGATCTAATTCTTATTCGCATAGGAGATTGATTCCACGGAATGCAACAGTCACTAAATCGACTGAAAAAGTTTCGTTTTTGCTGAGGTATGTGCTCATTAAAATAAGGTAGGATTTCTCAAAGAGATTGATATGTAATTGCTTTTACGAAGACTGACCATGGCTTTTGTAATAAGAAGAAACGGATGTAAAGACCGCAACATGTCAGCCAATTCCGTCTACAGGAACGCTCAAATTTGCGAAATTCAATACGTTTCCGAATTTTTATAATCGTTAATTCTTGAAATTAAAAAAGCGTGCAACTTTGTCAGTACGAATTGACCTGATAGTCGAACAGTTTCAGGTTGAGTCGGATTTTAATATCTCAAAATGGTGTCTTAAAATGAAACCTTCTCAAGTCCTCATTCGGGCCACTCACACATTTACTGGCTACCATGGATTTTTAATTATTCACTACAAATATTTGGCAAAATCAGTGGTTCGACTAGTTATTTGCTGAAAAAACAAGTGATCGGAAGTGACCGTGCGTGAAGATTTTGATGGAATCATTCCCTTGTAAAGAGCAGTTTTCGGCCGATTAGGCTTCCTAACAAAGCAAAAGGCGTTTTCAAACGGATGGAAAGAACTTCCAGGCACTTTGGCCCTGCAAACATTAGATCGCATAGCATGGCCAAGCCACCGCTCCACATCTACTCAAGAGGCGTCTCGTATTCGTGCTAAGCTTGAGCCTTCTACGTAATACAGCACCTCTGTGACACTGTTCAGACTGTCGGTCACCAGATATGGAATACAGATTTGAGACCAGTGTTGGCCTCAGGTGACATATGTATCGAGAGGTCACTTCGATGTACCATCCTTGTGGGATACCCGACTCGCGAAAAAATGAAATTATCGCATATCAAAGGAAAGCGAATAAAACTACACGTAATAATTACTCATTGTTGCAATGCTCCATAAACATTTTATTCGTATTCATGTTGGTAAATCTTCTTTTTTAGTGGTGTGGCTCATATATTCCAAAGTCCGGTGAAACTACCACTCATGACAAAATTACTCTGCAGCACTGCGGTACTCGAAGAATCAGAGAGTCATACGACGCTACCATGATAAAGGTAATTACAAATATGGA